CCGCTCGGCGCGCTCTCCACGCCCCCCAGCGGCGGGTGCTTTCCTGCAGGACTTAGGGGAACTCCAGGGTGGTAACCACAGACTTCCCCCGGCGCGGGGATTTCCATGACCTAAAAGCACGCCTATTTCTTAACCTTAGCGTATTCGCGGGGCATTTACTGAAAGAGCCTTTGCTTCGTGGTTCGTGGGTCAGAGGAAATATTGATCACCCGTGGAGAGGAGGTGATCATTGGTCAGCCTGACTGGAAAAGGTCCATCTCGCATGTCTATTTTAAAAAAATAAAAAAAAATTGTGAAACCTTTATGATCATTTTTAACTTTTTGTTCTGATTGAGAAAGTAAGGCATGGATGGAAATGCAGTGGCATGCAAAAAGGTCGCATGATTCTCCTTTTCAGTTTATTTTTACTCTTTTAAAGACTGAGATCACCTTATTAGTTTCCTGCGTTGAAACTTTTTTTTGGTGGGTTGGTTGTTTTTATACCTGGGGTAGAGTTGTCTATAAAAAAAAAGGCCATCTTTGGGCGCACCAGGGACATCTCTAAGTGAAGATGATATTCTCCGGGAAACTTGAAGTCCGAGTCCCACTGCACTGCCATGTTTTTCTCCATCTCCCTTGTCCAAGCAGGAGGCTGACGCAACTTTTTCTAGGACACTGTGTGCCACGAAGAGCTCATGCCCTGGGAGAGCGCACCTGATTTTCCTGTCTTCCAGGAGATCAAAGGTGATCAGGAAACAGAAGCAGAACCACAATGCAATTCGTGAAGTCATTAAGAGGGACGCCCATTTCATTCACCGCAGCTAGGATCAGCTCGTTAGTTCCAGCTGGAATTTTATCAGAAAGCTTAAGTTGGTCTATGAAGATGTAGGGATTTCAATCCACCTTTGAGCCACCTTTGAGATGATGGAAACATTGTGTGGTCCTTATACGCTTTTGATCATGTACCCACCAGAAGTATTTTGAAAAACTCTATTTCCCTGGAACATTTTTAAGTTGATATTAAAACATAAAAGTTGTCATAATTGCTAAGCAACTACAAAATGTAGACATAGATATTTTAGAATAAAATTGATCCAGATCTTTCTTACACGTATTCAATGGACTACAAATACCATAGCCATTTGATACCTACCGCCACCCCTTCGATAATTAACATCTCAGTTCATCTTTAATAATTGA